ATCCAGATCCAGCTGTGGCCTGCAGAGCTGGTGTGGGGAACCGCAGCCTGGCAAAGAGCTGCCCATGACGTGCAGGTAGGAGGCAGCCCCAGCTGAGCAGGGCCTGACGATGCAGCACACCCCCCCTCGCCCACCCTAAGGCTTTTGTTAAAAAGTGGCAGCTTGGTCCTCCCTGGCCCCTTGGTTCTGGCACCGACACTAGTGCTGTCTGCACCTGGAGCTAAACTGTCAGAACCCTGCAGCTTAGGGACGTGGCCTCTTCACACCCAGAGGTGATGTGGCCAGGCCCACCCAATATTTTAGTGGAGCCTGAAGGGCTCATTGGAAAGGCCTGGCCAAGACCGACCTTCTATCAATGGAAAATCCAAAGGAGAAGGGAGAAACCAGTCATCTGGCCACAAACACCTACTGTGAGTGGGATGGTCCCGCCATTGCAGGGAACTTTCCTGGCCTCTGCACTGCCCCAGTGACATGGGCTAACGACAGGCTAGTGAGAGGGCTCCGGCTGCCTTTACTCAGAGCCCTGCCTCGCCTCGGGGGCTCCCCTCCCACTGCCCCGGGTGACAGAGGCCTTGTAACCCTGACTAGCAAACGCTGGACTGCAGATGATTTTAAAAAAGAGGAAAACATGGGAGAGTTGAAAGGAAACAGTCACCCTGCTCTGGGCTCAGGCACATAGCACACAGCATCCCTGGGACGTCAGGCAGCTCCCAGCCAGTCCCTCACTCAGCCCAGACCTGGCTGGGCTGCAGGGATGCCGCAGGTTGGACACTAGCTCTGGTGGCAGCCACGCACCCTCAGGTGCTAGGTGGGGACCCTTCTTCCCAGAGTCAGCCCGCCATGTCAGGACCATGACCCTCCCCCCGCCACATCAGACCTGCAAGGCCTCTTGGCTGGGGGCATCCCCATGCTGGGCCCTCTGCCCAGAACATCCCCGCTCCCCAGCCGCTTGGCTCCAGAGTGCTCCAGCCCCAACTCCTGCTCCTGCCCCTACCCCAGCACTGACCTGCTCCCCTGGCTGCTCCTCTGGCCACTCTGGCTCTGGCCAGTGGCCCTACGCCCAGCTCAGCCCAGGGTCCTGGGCCAGGCATCTCCCGCTCACATGGAGGACAGGACCCCTGGCCTATGACTCCCTCATTGGCCTGCCTGCCTTGTCAATAAGGCTGACCTGGAATGATGGACTCACCCCATTGGCTATAGGAACTGTCAGTCTCAGGGTCCTGATGCTGCACCCCCTGTGAGCCAGGAGGGCAGCTGCCCCCTGCTGTTAACAGCCAAGACCCCACCCAGAGGTGATTTCCCACCCCAACGGAGCTTGAGGGCTGGGCATGTGGGAGAGGGCAGTCTGAGGAAGCAGCTGGGGGCTTTTACCTGGGGTCTCACCCAGGAGGTCACAGAGCTGGGC